TGTGCCAGCGTTCACAAGCCCAAATGCACGCCAATGCCTCTCTCTATCCCACTGAGTAATTTTGTTCCGCAGTACTCAGAGCCCGTGAAGCAAAAGCAATAGGCATTTCAATGCCATCATGCAGCTGTGACAGGACTGCTCTGACTGCTATTGCGTCACATGTCACCAGGGTGGGGCTGGAGAGATCAAAATGAGCTAGTGTTTGGGGTGACGTGAGAAGGTGTTTGAGTCGTCGAATAGCCTGCTCACAATCCGCTGTCCATGCCCAGGGGGTGTCGTAGAGGGGCAGTGATTTCCAAATACTGAGGTAAGAACCTGAGATAGTAAGCAGTCATGCCAAGGAAGGATGCAAGCTGTCCAGCTGAGGTTGGCACTGGAAGGTTGAGAATGGCTGCAACATTGGACTGCAATGGTGCGATACCTGAGCTGGACACCCGAAGACCAACAAAAGTCTATTGCTGGGACAGCAAACACGCATTTTTCTGTGTTTAATGTCAGATTGTGTCTAGACAGAGCTGTGAACACCCATCTGAGGCATTCGTCATGAGTGGCCATGTCCTTTCCATGTACTACAATATCATCTAAGTACACAGCCGTACCTGGGAGCCCTGCTAGGACAGTGGCCATGATTTTCTGAAAGCAACTAGGTGCTGAACTTAGGCCAAAAGGAATCCTCGTAAAATGGAACAAACCCATGTGAGTCACGAATGCAGTCAGGTTTCTGCTGTCCTCGTGTAGGGGTATCTGCATGTAACCTTGCTTAAGATCCAGCTTTGTGAACACTGAGGAGCCATAGAAGAGTGTCGTGAGTTCCTCAATTGTCGGCAATGGGTATTTGTCTGGCACCACAGCCTTGTTAGGCCCCCGAAGGTCAACGCAGAGACGTATGCCCCGAGACCGTTTTTGCACAACCACAAGATTTGAGACCCAAGGGGAAGCATCAATGGGCTCAATGAGTTCTGCAGCTAGCATGCCCTGTAGTTCAGTGGTGACCTTGTCACGCATGGCGAGAGGCACTCGTCGCAGTGGCTGGATTACGGGCGGTATATCTGGGGTAAGCAGGGGGTT